TATAGCAGCTCTTCTTCTATAACGCTGTAATTTCCATAATAGAGAGAATTGAAGACGCTCAGAGTTCCAACAAATGGGTAATGGACCATCGCCACTGGTTCCTTCTTTGCTGGTGCTGGCTTGGGGATTGGTTATATTTGGTCCAACCCTAATGGAAAATGTGTCTCTTCTTTTTCAAGTATTTGAATGTTTGATTCCACTGATAGTCTTCGTTCTTGTCTTGCTTCTGGTAGTTGGAATCTTTGACAAATTATTTCCCTCTGCCTACTTGCTCTCTGCGGTTCATCAACAGCCAGGTAGCTCTAGCCATGAAGCTGATGGGTTTGGCTGGGGATCCTTACTACTGTTTCTGCTCTTCTTGGTTCTCTATAACTTGATGTGAGGAGTCTTCAACGCGCTTCAACAGAATCTCACTCATGTAAGCAAGTTAGTCAGGCCATCGTAGTGTTTACCACCTTTTATCTGCTTTTATTGTATTGTTTTACATTGTATTTCCTCTCAAGTTTTTTGTAAATATAAATTCAGTTTAATATGGTTCTTTTTTTTGGCTGAGCTCTTTCTTTTGCCATGTGGAAGAGGCAGCTTTTATGTACCAAGATGTGTAAGTGGGCTTGGATCAAGCTGAGTTGGACTATTCCAGCCCACCAAAGAACCAAAATATATAAGCCCATGCTAACCATGACTTAAATGACACAGGGCTCAGTCATGGTCAGGCCCTACAGATTTCCTTCGACAATCACAGGCAATCATCACAGGCCGTAATGACTCAAGTGGCACAGTGCCAAACTGCCAATACATAATTATCTAGCATAGTAGCCCCAAAGATTTAAGACCAATAGCCCCGACTGGCCCTGTAAATTTACAACAAGCCCATGGGTATAGAAAACTAATCCTAAAAGTCCACCCAAGTGGCCCGTTAGAAGCTTTATCAAGAAATTTACAACTAATATCTCCCGGAAAACATTTTGGAGAAGACAACGTTCCAATCAGTCTGGACCATCAATCAGTCTGGCCATTCCCTCCCCCTCCGCCCTCCCTTGGGTATGAAATCCTATTCCAGTTTATTCTAATTCTTATGCCAATTCCTGTAATCAAACAGATTATGGAAATAGAACATTCCAATTTTGATTCAAAATGATTTTAATTCCAACTGTAAATCAAACAGACCCTTAATTTGGAATCGTGTGTTCATGTAACATATTTGAATTAGGGTGTTCACAGTTTGGTTAACCTGTATTATTGGTTTTCGAAAAACCGGTAACCAGAACCAAACCAAAGCCAGTCGGTTAACCGGTTGACAGGTTTGGTTAACCGTCGGTTCGGTTCGTCGGTTTTTCAGTTTTTTAATTTTTAGAACATTTATTATAAAAAGATATAATAAAAAATTATATATATATATATATATATATATATTTAATATAGAAATATATGCATACCAATCAGTTTGGTTAACTGCCGGTTTTTTATATTGGTTAATCAAAACCGAGCCAATACCTTTAATTTTTTAAAAACATAGAACCGAAACCRAACCAACCAGTTCGGTTAATTGATTTTTCAATTCGATTTCGGTCGATTCGATTTTTCAGTTTTTTTTGTTCACCCCTAATTTAAATGCCTATTTTTTGAGAAGATTCCAGAATGTCATGATGCTCATATATAGCGGTCCTGAAACCACGTTTCCTTTACTTCAGTACATTCTTCTCCTTGACTATTAAAAGGATTCATATTACCTAAATTTGGAAGACCAGAAAATATGAATGTACTCCAAGTTTCAAAATTCCGTTACATATGCATATCGTATCAGTGGATCACCGATACACAAAATGTAAAGAATTTCAGGGTATGACCTGTTTCAGAGGGTAACCAGGCCTTTAACTGACCCCCTGAACATATTTTGGAAAAAAAAAAAATCTAAAAAAATATAAAAGAGTGTCGATACAAAGTCCAATACACCCAATTTGGCGTATCGGACTGTATCGAAACTTTGAACCTTGATGTACTCCATGTAAATGATCTCCAACATCAACTGAAATGAATGAACGAAACAGTCAATTTCATTGCATTCGCTTGACCACTACTACACTACTATAATGAATGGAATGATGAAACAGGATTCATATGGCTGATTCCATAGAGTTGGGAAGGCTYAGATGATGATGATTCTCATTTACGTATCCAATCATGGATTTTTACCACCATGGAGAGGTTCGGGTGAAATCTCCATGCTTTCTTTCAACAAGTGAATTCTGAGCCATCTTCTTACGAGAAGCTTCTGTTTCAGTCCGATCTGGCAACTAGACAAGTCCCACACCCTAAGTCAAAATCATTAGGTGGAGCCGTAGAGGTGTAAATCGGGCTGGGCTACCAGTGGCCTGACACAATTTGGGACCGGCCCGGCACGACAGTCTACGGGCCATTCCAGGCCCGGCATGATGGTCCGTGCCGTGCTGGGCCTGGGATTTGAAATCCACGGGCCGGCCCAGCATGACCCATATATACTATTTATATATATATATATATATAATATAATATATTAATAAAATAAACAATTTTTTCAATTTTATTATACTAATTTATTTAATTATTGTATATATAAGCAATTGCATACATCAAAATTCATACAAAATTAAAATTTTAAGTTTTTTTTCAATTTTTTTAAATAAATAGGCAAAAATATCTTTGGCCCAGTCCATGGCCCGACTTGGGCCAAGGCTTGGCCCACGGGCCGCCGACTCCCAAAAAATTTCACCAGGGAGGGTGCCACGGCCTGTGGGCCAGCACAGCACAGCCCATAATTTGTGCGGGCCGCCTGTGGGCTGTGCCGTGCCGGCCCGGCACGGCCCACTTTACACCTCTATCATTAGGGTGATAATTTCTTGAAAATCAAATCTAGTTCGGCTGTAGTAAGTTTCCAATCTTTTTTGTATGTGAAAGATCTATGTATATTTGTAATTATGAGAGGAGCAAAGGAAGCCCCCTGTACTAGACACTGACTTTGGCATCTTTCACAATGCCAGATATATATACATCATGCACTATAGATTGAGACAGATAATAGAAGTCCAAAAGCAGATTATGAAATTCTACTTTGTTCATGACAACATTGACTGGATAATGCTTATGCTAAAAAAAAAAAAAAATCTGCTTATTTCTCTTCCACCATAAGCATCAACATATAACCTTTGATTAACCATAGATATCCCACCCAGAGATGTCAGTAAAGGAAGTCATTAACAGGAGAAATATCCTTTTCCAAACCAAAATGATATAAGAAAAAAAGCCCAATACAGAGTATAAAAATTTAAAGAAACTTAAATGAAACAGAAAATCCTTGAAGCTAAAACTAAAAATATGCATATGAACAAAGAATTAAGACTATTTACCACATATTAACATTAAAATGCATTTGCACAAAATAATTGTAATTTTTGAAGATAATGAAATTCTTTTACCGAAAACCACATAAAATAGTATTTTTTTTGGTAAACACAGAATATAGTAACCACAACCAGAGAAAACAACAGAAACAGAGATATTAAAGGGGTCTAACCGAATCTTTCCTTACCAAACATAAAATAGATTAGTAATGCACTGTAAACCATGAAATAGTATAAATAAACAGTTCTAAAATATCATTGGCATTTCATAACCTATGATGCCCAGATACAGACATGGATACAAAAACAGATATAGGAAATGGAGAAATCCTGGACACAGATACTGGTACAGGTATCCCATGTAATATGCTTATACCATGCGTTTATATCTAGTTTTTGAAGCTAAATGTCATTTCTCAAGAACTATGTATCGCCAAATTTAATTAAATTTCTAACATAATGCAGATATTTTTGTAGTATAATTGATTAAAACAATTATCACATTAGAGTACATCTAGAAGTATCCGTGCAGTATCTGGTACATATCCAACAAGTATTAGCAATAAGTATTACATACAACAGTATGCTAGGCATGTAGAGTTATCTATCTATCTATCTATATATATATATTACAATATGAGCTTACAATTTTTTCAGTATCACTTTATACAAAAAATGCAGACTCTGGGAAAGTGGGAAAGAAGGATGAGTAAGAATCCTTCATCTCCTGATGAAATGGAGCTAAAAGAAATTTGCAGCCTGGATAGCCTCTCTCAACTTATCCAACCTCATAAAGTGGGAACATGACTTGGTTATAGACCCGTCTTAATGTGATTAAGTGCCAACAAGGCCTAGGGATGAGCCTCCATTTTCATGATAAACAGCTACATTATTGGAAACTTACTAACTGAGGAAGATAGTTGCAATAACTTAAGTTGGAGATGTCCAATCCCTCCTACAAGAGGTCTGGACCACTCTAAGCATACTCACCAATTCAACAATGGACATGGAAATTTCCTTGCAATTGCCCATGCATGCAATGATGGAAATAAAGAAAGGTAGCTTCAAAAACCAGGTCAACAATCCAACATCTTTTCTAAAATATCTGGTATCTTTTATTTTTTCCACCAGGTGTGATAAACAGAGCTACAGAATGAGTTTTACTATGATGTTAATCTAGTCTACCATAAAAGTTGTGAAGAAGCCAATTGTTTCATCCTGCCAACCAAGCATGCAGCCCCCAGGAGATGAAAGCAGATGTAAAGCCTTCTAAACTAGACTAGGCAAAGAAAATGAAAAAACAAGTGTTATAACATTTTTATGGCTCCAACAGAATTAACAATGAAGGAATTGATGATGTTTAGTTTCATTAGAAAATTCTGGATAGGGATATGCTTAGTTATCATCCCTAGGTAGTAAACCTTCATTTGGAAATTTTTGAGAAGACCAAACCAACTACTGCCAACAATTCCAGGGGCGATAGCCCAAATCAGATTCCAACCAGTTCTAGTGAACACTGTTGTAGTTGAGGTTGAATCATTTTAAAGTATCTATTGCTGACCCAATCAAGTAACAAACTGCCTCTACTAGTGACCACCACCAACTTGGTCTTCCTGGTTGCTTTCCTCCACTGTATGACACATAAGCCACTCTTCCTCCATCTTACTTTTTAGACAGCTCAAAGATGCCTTCCTGATACATGTATGAGTTCCTGCAACACAGATTTTATGGGATAAACCCTCCCTGAATAAGCCAGAGACCTGAATTTCCATCCTTCAAGAAGATACTGAATTAGGTCTAAGATGAAACTGCAACCACTTTATGATACTTCACCGGATATAAAGGATTTCCCAAGTATTCAACATAAAGATCATATACAGAAAAGCCAAGAAAGGTTCAGAAACTTGTTCATATGACAAATTTACTGTAGTTAACATTAAGGCATGACAATGGAAAATATGATGAAAATCACAGAAAAAAAGGTCATAGATTTTTAATGAGCTCTGGCAGAAACAATGTGTCTTTGAGTCAGCTGAATATTTCCAGCTTCAACATTTGGTGAGAACGCCAGAAAAAAAGGGAAAAAAACATTTTCTTTGTGAACAGGAAAGACCCCAAGAACAATTTCAAACATATCCAGAGAATTTCCTTGACAGAACCCCCAATGGCATTGAAGTAGCCGACAGGGGACCATTAAAACAGAAAAGAATGTCGGGATGAGGCAAATGTGTCATGCAACCATGCAGCAATAAAAAAATTCTGGTAGTTTTAATTTTGTGATATTTATTAACTGTATGGCTTGTAGTTTGCTTTTCTTAAAAGGCAATTTAATAGTCAGTTGAATGTTGGTCTCTAAAAGGGTCATTATCCAATGATGATCAGTCTTGGGATGGGTAGACTGGATACACACACACACACAAAGTGGCAATTCTCAACTTGAACCCATATTCTCATGCTTATAAGCCTGAGGATTTACCATTGAACCAAGCAAGAACCCCTATTAAAAAGAACTCTCTTTAGATAAAGGAGTTGAATTGGTTAAGAAAATCAGTATACATCAAAAAGCCAAAACCAATGACTACTTTATTCTTCATGTGATTTTTGAGAGAAAAAGAGAGTGATAGACAAAGTGGTGAATGATTGGGTACATGGAAAGCTACAGTTTTGGCGATTGGGGTTTTGTAGATGAGAAAATAAAGATAGAAGCCTATGGATCTCACAAACAAATAGTACCAATAAGGTAACTGAGTTCCAAAGATACCAAGGAGCAAAATCTATACAAGAAGTTCAATAAATCATAAGAACATCAAGAGAAATAACTGAAACACAGAGGATAAAAATAGTGAAAATGTTAGCTGAAAATAAACAGAGAAAGTTGTAAATTTTTGCATCTCAATGGAATGGGCACTTTCTTAAATGAGAGATAAAAAATAAAAAATAAAAATAAAATAAAACAGGATATCATAACAAAAATAAAGGGCTTCTTGAGAACATCTATTATTGTTATTTTGCAACTATTCTTTCAATTAAAACAGAAGATAGAAAATAGAGAATATCAAAACAGCATCCCATGACCTACAGCTGGTGCACCAATATGTAAGAGTAACACTTCAAAATTATAAAAAAACAAATGAGTAGGTCATCCATACAGTAGGAATTACTCAAAATTAACAAAACAAATACCAGGACCCTAAAGTTTTCTGATGAAACACTAACAGAAGATCCAAACTTGTTCATTCTTGCAATGTGAAGAAACAATTAAGACTTGAAAAGAAATAGGAAGGCACTAAAGACTTACCCTCATTAATCTGTAGTAGCACTTGGGTTTTTCTTCTTAAGGTTCCTTGTCATGTCAACCAAATCTAATGTTTTCTTCAGTGACAAGCATCCCATTGAACGGTTTTCAATCATAGTTTTAGGAATATATTGGATCATCCAATAGTCTTCCCCACCATTGAAACGCAACCTTTGAATGAAATCCTCTGGCATCTCTGCTAAAATCAATGAATGAATAGTCTTGAGATGTTGAAAGCCATGGGGAAGCTTCTTTAACTTTGGACAGAAACCAATGACAACATGCCATAAGCATTGCAGCATACCCTCCTCTATTTCAGTGAACTCCTCCAAGTTGAGCATATCACTAATACATAACGATCTCAGTTTTGGAAATCCTACATCACCACTGCTGCTACTAATCCAACCCATCTGCCTCCCCATGTAAGCAGTACTTAGCACAAGGATCTCTAGATTAGGCAGCTGTGATAGACTGAGCATTGGATCATCAGTTAACCTACTATCAAACAATTTAATTGTGTGAAGGTTATTGAGGGAGCATACCCACTGAGGTAAGCACTCCATAATCCCATCCAAAGATAACTTCTCAATATGAGGTGGAGGTGGTGACATCATTTCCAGATCAAGTACATCACCTTTAGTGTTGGAGCAAATTCTCAGGGACCGTAGGTGTTCCATCCTCCTAAGAGCAGCACATAACTCTGTACAATATTCTCTTCTTACTTCTACGATATATAATTTCCTAAGCCCATTTAAGTAGCCAAGTTGACTTGCTAAGCTCTTATGAGCTTTGACCCCTGACAGTGTTTGCAGGTTAGATAATTCTCTATTGTTTGCTCCTATTGTAAATCTTCTCAATATATGGATTGTGAAAGTCCGATCACTGAGTTTCTCTCTGTTATTTGTCAAAAGAAGATGTCTCATTTGTGGAAACGTTGCTATTTGAATTTTTGGGGGGAAGCTTTCCACTTTTGTGTTCCGAAGATCCAAAGTTTGTAGGTTATGCAACTTTTGCAATGAAGATGGAAGCTGATGGATTTGAGTCCACCTCAAACCCAAATAGCGCAAGTGAATCAAATTGCCAATTTCACTTGGCAAATGCTCAATTTTAGTTTCTGACAAATCCAACAATCTCAAAGATTTAAGATTTAACAACATTTGACGCAAAGCAGAATATGAGACCTCTTTCACAGAAAATGTGAGGAAGGATCGAGGATTATTCTGTTCATGGTTGATTCTGTTATCCCATGTAAGGCTATTATCTGCAATCTTATTGTGAAATGCTATACGTCGGTGACTCCCAACAAGTAACCCATTGCTTGGGTGGTTTGTGTAAACTACACCAAACTCTTCTTTCTTAAAAATTTGAATAGCCATTTCTCTCATGAGGTCATGTACTCTACATGCATTCAGCCCCACACGAAGTTTATCAATGTCAACTTGTAGTATACTCCTATTAATGAGCTGAACAAGGTAATTTGCTGCAACTTCTTCTGGTGTCTTTCGAGGGTGGTCCTCAACAAAACCTTCAGCCACCCATAGACGAATCAATCTTGATGTCTTGATTCGATAATCAACTGGAAAGAAGCCACAATAGAGGAAGCAGTATTTTTGAGGGGAGGGTAAATAATTATAGCTAGTAAGCAGGACAGCACTTAGTCTTTGAAGGTCTTGACTGTGATTCAATTCCCAGTCAAGATTCTTGAGAACATCGTCCCATACTGATGGATTAGTCCCTTTCTTTGACATGAGGCCTCCAATGGCCCCAAGGGCAAGTGGTAGACCATCACACTTTTTAACAATAGCTTCTCCAATTTCTTTCAAATGAGAAGGGAAACTTACAGAAGGGTTGTTATTCTTGAACTGTTTTATATAAAAGAGATCCCAAGCCAAATTTGGGGGTAATTTCTGAAGTTTATGAACATAATTGGTCTCACCTGTAGGAGAAGCTACATCTTCCAACCGAGTCGTGAATATAACCTTGCATTTACCTTTACAGGGCAAAGCAATTTTTACTACTTCCCAAGCATTAACATCCCAAATATCATCAAGTACAAGGATGTAACTCTTACCTTGCAAATAGCCATAGGTCGTCTGTTGCAACTTTTCTACAGCCATGGCTTCCATACCTTTAGGAGGTGCTTGCTTTCTGCTCTCATAGAATTCTTCCATCAAGCGTCTGAGGATTCCCCTCAATTCAAATGCTTGAGAAACAGAGACCCAAGCACTACATTCAAAATGCCCCTTGATGCTATTGTAAACTTTCTTCACAAGTGTTGTCTTGCCTAAACCCCCCATGCCGACCACAGAAATTATTGACCTTTGATGGTTCTCATCAACTCCTTCTTTCAGCAACCAATTCTCTAGTTTCTCGACATCTTTGTCTATCCCTATGATATTAGCTTCTTCAACAAATGGAGAAGACAACCCATAATCTCCCCTTGTTTCTTCTTCATGATTCGAGCTATTTACTTCCTCTTGAAGATTGTATTGCAATCTTCTCCTAGAGATGGCTTCGACTTCCCTCTTGATGCATTCAATCTCTGAGTGGAATTCACGGCAGAGTGTCATCTGCTTGTTGAAGGAAGGTATATAACATATATAAAACTTGATATCTAGACAACCCACATGTCTTCTCGTGAGTCTAGCCCTGAGGAGATCCATTCGGAGGAGGAACTCCTCCAGAACATCCTGAATTTTGTAAGCTTCATCTCTGACTTGTGCCACCCACTCGCTCACAACCTCTCCTCTCATACTTTTCTTCTCTGCATCTCTCAGGAAGGCCTTCATGGTTGAGAGCTCATCCTTGATGAACCTAATGTCATCTGTGGTCCGAACTTGGTGTTGACCGTCTGGGGCAACCTCTTTAAGAGCAATCTCTCCCAGTTTGGTAATAACAGAAACCAACAAAGCTTCTGCCATTCTAATCTGTACTGGATGTTAGAAGCCACAGAGTTTACAGACAATGTTTTTTGGCAAGTGACAATGTTTTGCCTTCTGGTTGACTTGGAGCTTTGATCATCGTATTTCCAATATCTCCATTAAAGGTTGTCTTTGCTTCAGAAATCAGAATAGATTGCGCAAAGCAGTCAGTCTTCTTTGCTCTTACACCGTTGCATTGACCAAGGTGTAATGATGAATTTGAATACAGCCATCAGCCACACAAGACGCTACACAGCACTACAGCCGCACAGGAGACAGCCCGCCCCACAACGCCTCACAGCACATTTTCGTCGTGTATTGGGAACATCTCCCGATGATAACATCGTCGGTTCTAATATATCATCGGGAGATGATGCGAATACACGGCGAAGATGTACTGTGGGGCGTTGTGGGGCGGAGACGTGATCTCGCCCCATTGCCCCAAAGTCAAAGTTGGAGTGCTGGAGAATGCCCAAAATCTTCCCTCATAGCCTCAGCGTCTTAGCAAAAAAATAATAATAATAATTCGTCCCCAGCGTGTACAAGTATGTATTTTCATTCGAGTCCAACATTCCTACTATCCGGGCCCTGAAAGCTCCACGTCTGCCGTCTGGTTTCCAGGGGTCAAGTAGAGCCGGGTTGAGCTCAATCCTAAGTCCCTAACCCAACCCGAATTATTGACCCAAACCCTAAACCAACTTTGGGCTGGCTTGAGTTTACGTTGGGCTCGGGTCATTTTTGGGTTGGCCCGACTTCTATACTTCCCTACCAAATGTACTTATTTGTTTTATAAAAAAGAATAAATTATATAYTAGTGCCCTGTCCCTTGGTTCTAGTCTCATTTCGGTATTCGAATTTCAAAACTGCCAATTCAGTTTCCGAACTCTCAAAACATCTTATTTTAGTCCAAAATCATTACTCTCCATTAAGTGGCATAACCATCTAAATGCCTTGTTCTTTAGGCTCGTAGTGTTGTTACAAATCTAGAGCACCAACTTAGTGTTGGACAAGAAGCATCCTCCTTAGAGAAGACCTATGCAAAGCATTCTCAAGCCTCAACGTCCACGCGCTCATCGGCTGCCTCAGGTTGTGCAGGCTATTCGTTGCTGACTTGGACTTGGCCCTCAAACAGCTACACCCCCTAGGCTTGTCTCATTGTCTTAGCCGCTAGATCGTCCCCAGATTGAGGCCTCAGGCCTCCAACAAGTTGGCGCCGAAGTTTGATTGGAGCGCCAATACTTGAGCCTTCGTGTCTTCGGTGCCCTCCAAGTAGGAAGTGACACTAAACTTGGCCATCTCGTCTTTGTAGGCCTCGGTGGTCTTCCACTCATCGACAACCTTAGCTAAGGCCTCCTGAGCCTTCTTCTCTGCCTTTTGGAGCTTCTCCCTGGTCTCCTTTAGTTTCCCTTCTGCCTCATTCAAAGAAGCCCGAAGAGCCTTCACCTACTCCCTCTTGGCCGAGACCTTGGCTTCCATCTCCTTCCTATGGTCACGTTCCTCACACGCCACTGCAATAGAGACCTCCCGGCTAGTTTATGCCTCGGCCAACTATCATTTCAGTTGGTTGATCTCCTCCTGGGAGGTCCTTAGCTACTAAAGAAGGACCTCTACCTTGTCGCACAGACCAACAACAGTGGGAGACATCTGTAAGGGATAAACAATCGTGGGCAAGAAAGCAAAGTAAAGAAGAAATTTGACTAAGTATAAGGAACAAAAGCCTCACCTCAGCCAATCGATCCAACAATGTGTCTCGGACTCCTTGGATGGACACTTGGGTCCATGACTACATGTCCCCTACTGGGAGCATCCCGATCACCAGGGCTCGGCTGACCCCCGAGCTACTAAGGGAATCGCCCTCTCGGACGTTCTAGCTAGGGCAGAAGATTTTGCGTCTCACCAACAACATCTCATTGTGGCGGTCGGAAGAGTGGGGCTCTAATTGCTAAGAGCACCCAGTAGTGCCCTCAGCTTGGTAGTCCTTCACCGCCAGTCTCTTCCCCTTCAGAGGTTGGGGGGCCTCAGCAGGTCTCTTGGACATAGCCGCCCTTCTCCTCTCGGCCTCGATGGGTGCCTTTGCCCGAGGCGGTTCTTTGGGGGTAGCCATCTTCTTTAGGGCAGGCCGCTTCGATGGCCCCTCACCCATGGCCCTCTTGGTGGATTTGGCCACCTGCATGATGCAGTCTTTGATGCCGATGTAGACAGCTGACAACAAGAGTGACCATACAGAGGCGGGCAGGGCTAAGGCCAGCCCACACCAAGGCTTCCTCCGCTACCAAGGGTTCGTCCCCGAATCTGGGTCATCACGTTAGCCTCCTCCTCATTATTATATGGCCGTATCCTCTCGGCCACAAGATTCGGCTCCCCCCAGTCATACCTGAAAAGGCCAACCCTCCGGACAGGACACAAAGATATGCTTCTTCTTCCAGTTGTGGATGGATGATAGGTTGTCCACTACTCTACCCCATCGGTCCTAAAAGTAGAATAAGCCGGCCCTAGCAGGATGCTTCCTCAAGGCAAACATGCATTGGAAGATGTTCATAGTGACGTAGACACCTCGGAGGCGGACCATCACCAGCACGACTATAATGGTCCTAATAGCATTTGGTGCTAACTAACTGAGGGAGATTTTATAATAATTAAGAATCTCAGAGACGAGCGGAGGAATGGGGAATCGGAGGCCAAAGTGGAGGTAGTGCTCATGCACACACACCTCCCTCTTGGTTGGTTGCCACGGCCGGTCACCGACGCTAGGGACTCAAAGCCTATAGCCCCCAGGAATATGGTACATCTCAGCAAGAGCCCTCAGTTGCTCTTTGTTGAGTTCACTATCCAAATTAGAGCATGGATGATGCATCAGCATCACACCTCGGCTTTCATCCTTGGCTACCTCCTCAGGAGTGCGGTCCTCGGCCTCTTCCGACTCAACCACCTCAAGGTTCACCAAGGCCTTCCCCGTGGCATAGCCCCTTGGCCTCATAAAGCTAGTACTTTCATCAGGAGATTCCTCGCCTTATCGGCTACACTCAACGCCTCCAAGGGCAGTCCTCTCCCTTAGTRCCTTAACTCCAGGTGCTCGAGGGGAGCTCTTGGATTCATTGGTGGTATCCTCACTACTGGATGAGGTGGAACGGGGAGTGCTGGTGTTAGTGAGGTCAGGAAGCTCATAGCACTTGGGGGACTGGAGTTTGAGTATGACATGGTTCTAGGAGAAATCCTTTACCTAATGAGGAAAAAGGCTAATGGTTTGGCTAGTTGGTGGCCGAGGTCTCTAGAGACTTAAGCAAAAGTGAGCAAATGGTAGGGAGATGCCTCAACCAACGACTCTATTTAAAGAAAAATGTACAACTCAAATCACTTCAATCCAACGGTTGTGGAGGCGTCGACCTGGCAGCCTGAACTGACACGTGCCAGTTGGCATTGACCTCGGGAATACAAAATGATGCCGAGTGAATTAGTCAGTCCACCCACTAACCCCGAGTCAGGAGTGACCCAAAACAGGTGACCCACCACTCGTCGCGCGCACGATCACAATCGATCAATGCCGATGCCTGTCTCACATACGGATTTTGCGACAACACCTATACAGAACATGGAAAATGAATGCGGATGCCTTACACCTGTGTCATGCACGGTCTCGTACCCTCAACTCGACACAATTCTCCAAGGAAGCAAGGCACCAACAAGGGAACCGTTGCCATAGGATTACCTAGGGAAGCTCTCTACAGCCGAGGCCAACGCCTCCACACCACTATATGACGCCATCTTTGACTGAAACCGAGGCCTCCGCCAAATGTCTCCATTCTACGCCTCCACAAGGTACTATAATACTCTCTTCGGTCGAAGTTGAGGTCTCAACTCAACTCACCGAATCGACCTCGACCATCATGGCTTCGAGAGTCGGGGGCAAGTGATATAGCCACACATGGCAAGGCCCAAGATTGTGCCATGTGGCATTAGTCGAACGAGATCTTGGTCGTCCATTCCCAACAACCTCCAACCACTCTATGGCAAGGTCAAGTATAAAASGGGGTGCCTAGCTTAAGGTAAGGCTATCTTGCTCTTATTTGCTTTCTAGCTATTTTGCTCTCGAGTGACCTCGTCTGAGTCCTCGTCTCAAGCCTAGTCCAACCCTTCTCAAGCACTTGACTAACTTGACCGTTGGAGTCTCCGCCCTTGGAATAACACCTAGGGCCTCTAGCGAATTTACCTTGTTGCCCTTGGCCCCATCATTGGCAACAACAAAGTAAGAGGCGGAGAAATAGGGTTTCTAGCCACTCAAAAAGGGTATGGTGTGGGGTAAGGACTCGAAGAAACAGAAGGAGAGAGAGAGAGAAAGAGAGGGAGGGAGGAGAGAAGAAGAAGAAGGAAAGGGGGATAAGTGGAGAGGCAAAATAGCAAACGATAGAAGCCAGAGGGAATTTGGGGTAGAAACTTGTAGCCACTTAGAAAGGGTGTGGGGTGGGGTGAAGACAAGAAGAAATGAAAGGAGAGAGAGAGAGAGAGAGAGGGAGGGCAGAGAGGAGGAGGAAAGGGGGAGCAGCGAAGAGGCAGAATAGCAAAACAATGACTGGAGTTAGAGGGGAGTTGAGGGTAGAAACTTGAGTTGCATGTTTGGATAGTGTAATACTTGTAATATATTAGCTAGATCTCACACACTCACCATTTACTCATGTGGAGATTCCATTTACTGAATGCTAAAGGCAATCGTGTATATATATATATATATATATATTTATTTATTTATACTAGTGAACATGTACATGCATTTGCACATGACAATATCTCCAAGACAAAACCATTTACAATTCATGGACAGTTATAAGTGGGCAGTTTCTTAATTGTTATAAGTGGAGAGTTTTTGAACAATTATAAGTGGGTAGTTTCTTAACTATTATAAATGGGCAGTTTTTAGAGTGAGAGTAAAGGACATATATGCCCTTTTTATGCCTGCTGTACGTTGCTTGGATAAGGGGTAAAAATGTCTAATGAAAAGTCCAGAAAATGGAACTATTCGCTCTTTTATTAGTAGTATAGATATATATTCTTAAACTACCCTTAAGGTTTCAGTATTGTCTTAAAGTACCCCTATTGCTTTTGACAATTGACTAGCTCTAGCTCGTTAGCATCCGTTAATATTTCGTCAAAATCTGTATACATATGACACAATGTGACGTATAATTTTTTTTCTAAAACCCAATATTACCCKTCTCTTTCCTCCCAGTGGCAGCAACACCCTCTGCTTCCGGTCTCTCTCTCTCTTCTTTCTCTTCGTCCTTTCTTCCCCATGTTCGCTTCGTTCTCAAACTACCTATTCTTAGTCATGGAAAAGATTTTCGGCGACAACAACAACCCCTAAAAAGATTTCTAACGACGGGAGCAACCCCTGCAGATGATAATTATGAGGCATTGTTCGAGGTCCGACTGTATTTGCTATCTCTCCATCGGGTACCTATTGTTTGCGAGTTGGTTGAAAGAGATCCATGGCACGAGAAGAGAATCTATGTAGTGAGGACTGGAAAAATTTTAGCTGTTGGGGGCCAACAACCTATGTTGTTGAGAGAAGTTTTGGAAATGTCACATTACCCTGAGAATRGGTAAATTAGTAATTACATCTTAATTTATTTTTACTAAAAACTAAAGCATAGGTGTGAATAGGTGAACTTCCCATAAACTGTCTCAACAGAGGCCCCAACAACGGGCCAACTTTGAGACAGTTTCTGGGCTAGGCATGTTTTGGGCAGTTCACCTATTCACGCCCATTCTTTGRTTTTTAATAAAAATAAATTAAGATGTAATTACTAATTTACCCATTCTCCAACGAGATGGCTGGCTTTTGGCCCAGAGTGGACCATGGGTCTTAGTTAGGTGGTAGAGGTCTTCATGGAGACGGTCGGTGGTGATTGGTAAGGTAGGGGAAGTACCCCATTATTAAGGGCCATCCCATAGGACTCAGTGGCGCATTTTGCTAGTTTTGCTAGTGGAAGATGAGAAGGAGGAGGAAGAAGGTGGCGATAGAGGCGAAGAAGGTGAGAAGTGTGGAGAGGGGGTGAGCGGTAGAAAGCAGGGAGAGTTTCGCCGCTGAATTGTAGCGGCTAGAAGAAGACATGTCGGAGGTGGAAGAAGGAAAGAAAAGAGACAGAGAGAAGAGAAGAGATGCCAGAGGTGGAAGAGTTGTCGCCGCTGAATTTTCGTCGCTTGAGACAAAGAAGACGACCCCGAGCAAGAGAAGGGGTTTTCATCGAAATGGTTTACTATTCTTGATTTTATTAACCAACCGACATCTACCATTGACGACAACGATGAACGTGATCTCGAGTAAGAGATATTGATTGAAGATAAAGGGGATGACAACTGGTCTCTATCGTCTTTGCCGTCAATGACAACCGCCTTCCCATATTCTTACCATGGCAGACGACCAGGAGCTCGACTTCACCGTGCCTTAATGGGCACCATATACCTATCACACATTCTCCTCGTAGATTCTCAAACCATTTCAGGCTAAATGCTAGTGCTGGTTACAAGTCCCGCAATTGCAACTAAGGTTTAACATTGGACCGGGGCCGGAGCCGGAGCCGGAGCCCGTGAACGAGCAAAGGTAGGTAAAGATACTTTTAGACATACTGAAACAATAGGGTAGAGTTAGCCAATTTCTAAAACCTTACATAATTTAAAAAATTTCTAAAACCTTAGGATAATAAATTTTTTAAACTACYCCTATAATTTATCTAATTGACTGAATATATCTTTACTTTTTGAAAATTGACTATTGCTATCCTTATTGTTTCTGATAATTGTCTAGTTCCTGATCGTTAACTCTCCGTCAAAGACCGTTTACACGTGAGAACGTGGAAAAAAGAGAAAGAAGGAGAAAGAGACCAGAGGCGGAAGGGGAAGTCTGAGAACGAAGAAAGACGGATATATCTGAAACCACCATCGAATTTCTTTGCTTCTGGGAAGAGGCAAACAAGTCCCAATGGCCTTTATAAAGTGGACTTTTTTTGAGGAAGTCTTTCCACTTGTACTCCTAGATCAGACCCTGTTCTTTGCACCTTGTATCCTCACAGGGACTTCCACCAGAATGAAAAGAACTATTCCTATCAAAGCCAATAAGGAGGAGAGAGATTTCTTGATGCGAAGAGGAGAGAAGTTTAGGTGGGAGACGATGAACAGTAACTTCCCTCACCGACAACCTCCGCTCTCCACTGTTCCACCATCCACCAGCGGCGCATCAGATCTCTCTCTCTCTCTCTTTCTAGATCTAATGGTTGCTGCTTCTCTGGGTCCGTCCTTCTCTACATGTTTTTCTCCTTTTTTGCAGGTCAAATTAAGTTGCGCCTGCAGAGGTCTGGAGGCCTTCTCCAGCTTCAATGTAGTTAGGCATCAACAGGCAGCGTCAATTTCCGCCTTTGCATCACTGGCAATCTTGGAGTTTTTTGTACTCTTTTCTGTTACGACTTACGACCCAAATACCCTCCAACGCCTCTACAGCACCAGCACTGGCAGCGTCAATTTCTGCCTTTGCCGAACCGGCAACCTCTCGTGACGCATTTACTAGTAAGGGAAATGGAGCTCCACCCCAACCCCAAATTAAAGTCAACTTGGGATCTTCGCCGAAGACAAATACGGATCTGGGATCTTTGCCCATTGGTCCCTGAAGTACTTGTGTGGGACGGGGGAGACAATATGTGAAGCAGCGGATGCAGGATGCAGCAAGATACATGGGTCAGAAGACATGGTAGAATACTATCACTTCCATCAGAAAACATGGATATGGGACGGTTGGTAGTGAGACCGCCTCTGTGTTGCAGTGACCGTCGATAGTGAGACTGCTTCTGTGCTGTAGCGACCATCGGTAGTTGCAGCGACCATCACTGTTGGCGATAGCCGCGTTGATGGATGGCGTTCCCTCCTCCTCTTTGGACTAATGGGCGGCGTTGACTAACGAGAGACACAAATGTAACTTCACGTTAGCGTAAAATGGACATTTGATTTTTCGTGGCTCTGAAAAGATTTAGACAAAAACAATTTGATAAGAGTATACTTTGGTCAATTAAGGATATTTTAAGAAATTTCCAAAACTTGTACGGTGAGTCTAATAATGGTGAGCTGAACAGTCATTCTTTTTATATATATTGATTGATATTATTAATGTTCCATGGTCTTGGCATCCTACACCACACTTGGCTGAAAACAACCTCAGCTCCAATCACAGACGCCGTGTGACGCAACAACGCACGACGATTCAAGAAACTTGTTCTTTTCTAGATTATAGTTTTTCAACCGTATTTAGTTTCAAGTGATACTTTTTTAACCCACCTTAGGCGATGTGTTTTAATGTCTATTGGATGGAACACGAGTGGCTTCACTTGTGAGCACATCCGAACCGTAAATCGTCTCAATTTGTGGATTCTCCAGAGTCATCGGTCAGTATCAGAGTTCTGACAACTTTGTGGCTACACACAATTTCTGTACATAAATATGTGTGATGTGGTAGCCTTCCATTATAATTAATTTTATACGTGTAGAAAGATCAAGGATCTATAAATGGGTTGGATCAGAGTTCTGACAACTTTGTCTTGTATCATTAATTATTCTCAACCATTTCCGTGACCAGTACTCTTCCGTATCTCTGTTTGGGCACGTCCACGAGTTCACATCACCGCCCCCCACAGCACATCCCGACGACCTTGTATTGGCCCGATGATGAACTCGCCACAGCCAGGTCTGCGCCATTTATCTCTCTTTGATCTTTCTCTGTGGTACCTTTTCTTCTAATTTTTCAGTTTTGAGTTTCAGTTCCTGAAAATTGAAAAAGATAATCTCTCTGTTCTTCTGTTTTATTGTCACAGAGCAAGCGAGCTAGCAAGAAAAGCTTCATTCAGTAATCAATACTACTACTCCACTAGCTTACAGACTTTGCACCTTATCTTCTTTTTTTTTTTTTCTGATACTTCGTTCGTGTGTAACGAGGAAGGTATTGCTAATATTTCCATATAGTTCTGTATTTTAAAAAAGTGGTCACGGCTTGAAGTGATTGAACTTTTTCTAAGGGCTTTGTCGAACAAACAGGATTATGAACCATATGAATCATTTTATTTTTATTCTCCCCCTCCCCCCCGTTGGTCTGTATCTTTAGTTTTTGTGTTTTCACTGATATTTTATACGTTGATGTAGAGCATCCGATTAAAAATTAAGTACAGATATCATTTATTTATTTATTTATTTTTTGCTATGTTAAAAAATCAATTTTGTGGGAGCATGTTTTACTTATATTTGATGAAATCATTTCAGTTTCTATCTATTCCCAATTCAACCAATCTTTGCAGAAGAAACTCTTGCTCTATCAGACTTCTTGAGGCATTTGACGTCTTGTACGTCATACTAAAATTTAAATAGAGTATTAACCTGATATATTGACATTTGTAGGAAAAATGTTGAATTCTCCTCAGTGGTGGCTGCTTTTACTGTCCATACTGCTGTTCGCTTTGACAGTAAACTCTTCACATGATCTTACGAGAAATGAAAATAAGGTGAAATCTTCTGTTTTCCTCTCTCCAGAATTTGTGCTGGGACCAGGAACAGTGGCAAACAAGTACTATTACAACATTGACTTTCCAAGAGGTCACATTGCTCTTAAAGAATTCAATGCTGAAGTTGTTGATGAAGCAGGGATTCCTGTTCCTCTTCATGAAACTTATCTCCATCACTGGATTGTAGTAAGATACTATGTCCCTAAGGATGCCAAAACTTCTAAGATCCTAAGTGATGATGAGCTTCACCAATCAAAAGGTTTTATAGTGAGAAACAGTGGAGTATGCCAGGGGAATTCCCTAGGTCAGTATTTTGGCCTCGGATCTGAAACACGCAAAACTGCCACATATGTTCCAGATCCTTATGGAATAGAAGTTGGGAATCCAGCACAAGTTCCTGATGGATATGAGGAGAGATGGCTGCTTAATGTCCATGCAATTGATACACGAAATGTGGAGGATCGATTGGGATGCACTGAGTGCAGGTGTGATCTTTATAATGTTACAGAGGATGAGCTTGGCCGGCCTTTGAGGCCAGATTATACTGGAGGATTGTATTGTTGCTATGATCAAACAAAATGCAGGGTAAGGGAAGGCTTTGATGATATTCATAGAAGCCTCTACCTGAGATATACGGTAAAGTGGATTGATTGGGAGAATGCAATTGTGCCTGTCAAGATCTATATATTTGATGGCACTGATTCTGTAGAAAGAGAAAAGGATTCAACAATACTTGATGCTAAACATCATTGCAGGGTATATACCTTTCTCCGCATCTTTATGACTTATTTTCATTAGACTTGATAGAGAACTGATAGCTTTCCATCCTAATCTCATTTTAGAAAGATCATAGTGCTAACTAGGACTTATTCTAGTGATTAATCCACTTACTTTCATTAGACTTGATGGGGAACTGATAGCTTTCCATCCTAGTCTCGTCTTGGAAAGACCATAGTGCTAACTAGGACTGATTCTGGTGATTAATCCACTTATTTTCGTTAGACTTGATGGGGAACTGATAGCTTTCCATCCTAATCTCATTGTGGAAAGATCATGGTGCTAACTAGGACTGATTCTAGTGATTAATCCACTTATGACAAATGAAATATGCAAGCTTTAGAAATTCTAATGGTAAAGAAAGCCTCCCAAATGATCTGCAAACTACATTTAGTTATGAGTACATATGTTTAAATGCTTACATCAAAGTCAAACAAACACTGGTAGGAGTTCTTGCAACTTTTGAAAGAATTCTATGCAACATAGGCACCTTACTTCACAGCTCTACTGAATTAATATGCTTATTTTGTGGATTGCCCTTTCTTGATTAATGTTGATAATCTCCTTCTGAATATCTATCTATTCCTTGTACAGATAGAATATGAAGTTGAGTCTTGCAGTACCACTGGAGTGGTTAATGGTGGGTGTATTGATAGCAAAAAAGCAAGCATAGTTATCCCTAGAGGGGGTCATGTCATCTATGGTGTTGCTCACCAGCATTCAGGGGGAACTGGAGCAGCATTATATGGAGAGGTGATTATGAATTATTCCTAATCGAGTTTTTATTTTCATTTATTTTATGTTCATATATTTTTAATTAGGGAAGAAGAACTAGTATACACGGTGAAGAAAACATTCATTGATAATCAGTCTTCAGGCACAACCATTGATATCAAACGCTGCAGCCCATCCTTTCAATTGCTTTTCTCCTTATCTGCATAGAAACAACTGAGTCCATCTCCTAATGGTTTCCTGAAAGCCTGAGAGGATTACTGAGTTGAAAATTTGCAGTCTTTTTATCATGATCGAAATGACTCTTGCATTACTGGTGCCTCATAATATTATTAACTTGGAGAGGTTATTGTCTTCTCCCTATATGCAATTATATTTGTTGAGTTGTAAGCAAAAACAAACAAACAAACAAACAAACAAACAGATAAATAAATAAATAAATAACCAAATATTCTCATGCATTCAGACTGTAAAACAATTCAACAAAGCCTTAGCCTAACAATGTGGTTTCTTTTTGGGTTAAAAGAAAACATCTGGAGTGTGCTATCAGATTCTTCTTGTGTCATTTAACCTTTTCAAGGGCTATATATTCACAGTTAAATTGTGAGCCATCAAGTGTTCTCTCACTAGTTCAGCTCAAGTCAACTGGCATCAAAGTGCTCCTTGTTAGTGCATGTTTAGGACTAAAAATATATGATGTAAAAAAATTATAAAGCTTGAGGGGGGGGGGGTAGATTTGACAGCTGGTCCACTCCACATAAATTCAAATTTAAGTTGTTCTGGTTATGGGGGGGGGGGAGTTAAGCAACCTCCCCACGTATGAAGAGTGGGGAGGTTGCTCTAACCTCCCTACCCCATAACTGTCTCCTTTATATAAGGGGGAGAGCAGAAGAAAATTGGGTCGACAGATAGAAGAAAGAAAAGGAGAGAAAGAGATAAGAAAGAAAGAAAAAAAAGAGAGAGAAGAGAGAGGAGAGAAGGAATAGAGGAGGGAAGTTGAAGTTCGGCTGATTGAGGTGTAAGGATAGGCTTACATAGGTATAAATCTTATTATTTCCTTCTATCTCTTTAAAATTTTATCTATTTCAATCCCTATCTTCTCTCTCTCTAGAGTTTTGTTAGAACTAAAAAAGCTTATTTCAAATTAAATATATATGTATATTTGGGGAGCCTCTGATATCTCGATGGATCCTATCCACCCCAAAGTATTTCAGTAGGCTAACCCAGTGCTGTCAATACACATGAAATGGGACAAGTATGTTGATCTGTAACAGCACTTTGCCACCTGTTGCACACTACTATCTACCTAAAAATAGAACAGGTGTGCTGGTTTAGCACTTTGCCGCCTGTTGCAGACCTGAAAAGGGAGACACATGTTACTGTGGCAGCCTATATTGCCACTTGTAAATGGCAGGCTGCTGGGTCCCACTGTCAGTGGATCTTATCCACTTAAAAAGGGGGACACCACATGTGTTGCAGACCTGAGAAGGAGGACAGATGTACTGGCTTGTTGCAACTAGTATTGCCATTTGTAAATGACAGATTGCTAGGACCCCACTGTTTTAGTTTGCTACCAACTATTACAAAGGGACCCACTGTCATATGAGGTGGATCTTATCCACTTTAAGAAGATGAATTACATTACCCCTGAATTAGTTAAGATTCAATCGGTGGATCTTATCCACTGTCAAAATATTTAAGTTTTAAACCTTAAAGTGGGTCATGCCCATTATCAAATCAAACTAGTGGGTCCCACCTATCAGCGGGGCCCATTTTCAAAATATTTAAGTTTAAAACCTTAAAATGGGTCATGCCCACTATCAAATCAAACTAGTGGGTTCTACCTATCAGCGGGGTCCACTGTCAAAATATTTAAGTTTAAAACCTTAAAGTGGTCATGCCCACTATCAAATCAAACTAGCGCGTCCCACCTGTCAGCAGGGCCCACTGTCAAAATATTTAAGTTTAAAATCTTAAAGTGGGCCACGCCCACTAACAAATCAACCTAGTAGGTCCTACCTGTCAGCGGGGCCAACTATCAAAATATTCAAGTTTAAAACCTTAAAGTGGGCCATGCCCACTATCAAATCAAACTAGTGGGTCCCAACTGTCAATAAGGCCCACTTCAAAATATTTAAGTTCAAGCTGGCCATGTCCACCATCAAATCAAACTAGTGGGTCCCACTGTCAAAATATTTAAGTTTAAAGTATTAAGGTGGGTCATGCCCACCACCAAATCAGTATAGTGGGTCCCACTTTTTACCAATTAACGGGACTCACTGTTGAGATGTATAAGTTTAAATACATAACTACCCAATGGTGTATGGGTCCCATGATCTATCTACCAATTATGGGGGCCCACTCATGGGTGTAACCTGTTAGGAGTCCAAACTGATGGGATTGCTTATACCTGTTATTGGGTTTAACCTTTTTTTTTTTTTTGAGAAAAGTTAACATCTTTAATGAAGAAAGGAGAGGTACATGAGTGTGTACAAAGTAGCTCTTTCACATAAAATCAAAATCAAAGGGTATTTCCTTCAAGGAATATAATTAAGGGGTTTTAGCAGATGTAGTGCATACTTATACACCCTCAAGTTCTTTTTTTATGAATTATGATCAAAACAGTGCAGTAGATATCTTATGTACTTCAGAGTTCAAACTCACTTTTCCCTCATGTTGTCATATATTACTTCAACCTGAAGTCTAACTAAATCATTGATCTAACTCCTAATGGGCTTCCAGGGAAATAGAACATCCAAATATGTTTGTTACATTTTTTTTTCCTCAACTGGGTGGAGCTTTCTTCCAGTTGGATTTTGAAGTCTGGGTGCATGAGGCACATCTTTAGGTTTTTGACTTTTAAAGCCATAAGAACAATCTTCTCCCTTGTTTGGATTGCAATGGTCTCTGCTGCTGTTGCAGCTCCTAAAGGCATAGTTATGCACATATGGATTGGAAAGGTGTATTCTTTGCAATAACTCGGTTTACATTTATGGTTGCATAAAATTGTCTGCATGGATGAAGCAAGCACCTTGTCAATGTGTGAGATTGAAGCTGATCACCTTCTTGTTTATAGTGCATTCAAACTATTGCTCTAGATGCTTCAGTTTATAAATTTCTTGTTTTACGTTCATATTTTCCTATGCTTCTTTGTCTCTTGATTATATTGAATTTCTTGTTTAAAATCTCTTCCACTTGGCATAAGGGCATAATATGATAAGTGACTAAGTCTGTAGTTGAATTTATATCGGTCAATATCGTTTTGATCTGGAATACCAATCAATACCAGGCAGACTGGTGTTTTAGTCCCCTGTGAGTTGACTCAAAAGATTTTTTCCTTGTTCAAAGTTAGGAGACTTTGAAAATATTTATCTAAGAACAAGCTACTCAATCTTTCTCTGCTCATGTATGCATGTGGTTAGGATGGTCGGGTTTTATGCTCCTCCATACCAATTTATGGAGAAGGGAAGGAAGCAGGTAACGAGGCTGGTTACATTGTAGGGATGTCAGCATGCTATCCTCACCCTGGTTCAGTCCAAGTATCCAGTGGGGAGACTTTGACCTTGGAATCTAATTACAGCAGCACTCAAAAGCATACGGGTGTGATGGGGCTCTTCTACATTCTGGTTGCAGACCCACCTCCAGAGTCCATGCTTCTCTTACAAAATTCAGTTCATGTAAGAATTTTTACTCTTTATTTTCTTAGATAAATAAGTTTCAGCTTCCTTGTTTTCATTTTGTCAAGTTGGGGCTTTTATATGCATTATGAATATTTGAACAACAAAAGGGATTCTTAAATTGTTTAAATACATTGTTGGGTATTGGTACTGTCATTCTATGAAATGCACTTTAAACTGTAAATGCTACACTGTGAGAAATTAAATATTGCACCTTGCGAAGGGTGGAGCATACGGCATTCCTTTTGCAAATGATTGAGGTGAAACATTATAGAGCTCATGTTGCAATTTTTACAGATTGAGGTGTATTTTGTAGTACCAGCACTGAAAATATTTTTTGTGCCTAGATTTGTGTTGTTTAAAAGCTAGGACTAGACTGGATTGATAGATGGACCAGGAATACCTTCCACATCTCTCTTTTCTGCCACTAACATAATGTGAAACTTGGGTCAAGCTGAAACCAAACCTGAATGATATCCCAACTCAACTTTTAGTTCAGGTTGGACAAGCATATTCTGATGGAAATCTGGTGACTCTGCTCTTGGGCTGGAAATTAAGTAATCTGGTCCAACCCAAGGCCAATCACCCCATATGAGATGTTTGTTGGCGGAATGAACTATACATGGAGTGAACTTCCCTTTTCTATGTTACAAAGGATGCGAATTCGAGTCTTGTTAGAGGTTAACACAGAAACCATAATTCCTAAGGGAGCAAACTCAGTCACTTTTTCTTAATATCTGGTTTGTGTTGATGCAGGAAAGTATGAGATTTTCCAAGTATTCTTGGGGACTCCTTGCCATTGGAGCTGTGGTAGCTTTCATTGTTGGTGTTGGTTATTATTCAAGGAACAAAAGAGAGGAGCAATACCAATCCCTAGTGATTTAAGCTATGGACAGTGAGTTGTCTCTCTATTCTCCCAAATGACTGTTTATACTTCAGGACGTGTAGGCTCAACCGTAGTCACTGTGATGTTTAGTTTCTGTTAAACTTGTATTAGCTATTAGTTGAAAAATTCCATCTCTTTCCTTCTTTGCATGCATAAAAGTTGGATAGTACTATTATAATAAATATATGAAGTAAATAATGAGAACATTTATCAAAAAAAAAAAAGAGAAATGATCAAATTTTAAATTGCAACAGATTAAACTATGGAAGGTTTCAATGATCAATGTTCTATAGTATATAGACTTGCTAATAAGCTGGCATGACTTGTCTGGAGTGGGGCTGTAATCCGATTTGGATTTAGCCACATCCGCATCTGATCCAATTATTGAAAACATAAATGTGAACCCAATCTGATCTAGGGGTCTCAGATCAGATTCGGATTTAATCCAACCTAATCAGACTTGAATTTTAACGATTAATAGGAGGTTTTGAGTTCATCAAACCACTCCCAAACCCATATATTTGATCCAAGAGATAATGCACTTTTATCTTTTTAATGAACTTTTGTTCTCAGCACTGTAATCTTTGAGTGCGGAAATTATGACGCCTGCTTGGTAAGAACTAAGAACTATGAAATGTCCAAATTCACCTAAAGCCATTAAATCTCGTTCTGCATGGTCTGTATGCCTGCTATAAGAAAATACCATCCAACTTCTCTCTTCTTTTCTTGTCTCCTCGGGGTCTCAACTCTCAAAGACATGCGTGTATTCCTTTTGCAATCCATTTGTTAAAATTCGGTAGCGTATTTTGAAGCTGTGGGTGTTGGTGTTTACTCAGTGAACAGTCAAACCCAACCAGAAAAGAGTGGTGAACCCACATTTGGCAGAAGGGTTTTTGATTCTGACCTTTTGTTAAATGCATCTATAATTCGACTGATTACTGGATCGGTGGTCCGTGGTCGTTAACTAATCAGTTATAAGAAGCGTGTTCTTCTAGAAAGGAAGTAGCGGTACAGTAGGCAAAGTATTAACCACCAAACTGAGCTCTCTCACACCCAAAAACTAAAAGCTGATCAAAAGCAAGGTTTTCTTCCGCTTGTTAATCATATATTCACATATTCAGACCAACACCTTGGGTTCAAATAAACGTTTTTTTATGTTTAATATTATATGATCTAACGGATCAGATTCAGACACTCTCATATGAGTCACATAAGATCCATTTGCAGCCCTATATCGATGGAAGCTTCATGCTTGGCCTACTTTTTAATTCCAGTCATATCTTCTCCTTGTTCCAGCCATCAGCACTCTACTTCCTTATTGACCTCTTCTCTATTTTCTGATTTTTTTTTTCATTTTTCTTTTATTTAATGAAGAATGAAGAAAAAACCAAGGATGCCCACATGAGCAGCTCCTTTTGTTGTAATGAAAACGCTTGAGCTGCCAAAACGTTCTCTGCACTCTACCCCCCCATAAAAACTGGGTCTTGGGCCTCTTGGCACTTTATCAACTTCATACCTCGATTTATGTTCACACCCTCGGTGGTGAGTGGTGACTCTGCTTAGAGAGCTGCTGGTCTTGGTCAGAGAAGAGAGAGGGAGTGCTGAAACAAGAATAGTGAAAGAGAGGTGAGTTTAACGTGGAGCTTGTGCCCAAAGAAAAATCATAGAACACGGCTTTATGAGCAAAAATGGATTTTACGATATAATTAATAATAATAATAAGTTACTGCCCGATATGTATCGTATGTATTGGCCTATATGTATTGTATCAGGGACTTCCCATACGCCTTACAGGAGGTGTTTCAGGGTCTCAACCGGTACAGAGGGTGGACGAACCTTAAATCGGCCCTTCTGAATCAGATTCGAAAAAAACTAAAGAAAAAAAAAGCTATCAATACTGCCCGATACACCACTACCGGTGTATCGATATTTTAAACCTTCAAATTACTTGTATTAAATTAATAAAAATCTGGACATTAATTTTTTATTAATCTAAAATTCATTTAAATGGATATTGTTTTATAACCTTTTAAAGACAGCCTATTAATTATTGGGATTTTGTACAAAGGATATGTGCATGGAAAATCTGCCGCTCTTTCTCTCACTAAGGGTGCAATTTGACTTGCAGTTGGACCACTAGACAACCTAAAAATAATGATTGGATTAAAATCAGATCGACTTGAACTAATTAAGAATATTATAGGGCTTCTTGTGCTTTAAGTTGACTTAACAAATTCCTCGTAAAATGCCACTTTCATTGAAGATAGGCAAAAGAAAGCTACAAGATACAATAGAAACAAGCGCCATCAATATCCAATAGACCGATGGGTGGCATCGTGGGTGGAAGTGGAACAATCCGATTTTAACACCATCCTCCCATGCTCATTTATAWCGTTTGCATAGACTAATACAGACCTTCAATAAATATTCATTAATTGTGCCATTTAACCCATTAAATTTCACTTTTCATTAATTGCAAAAAATTTCGAATTAAGCCCATTAATAACTACCATTAACATTATTAATTTGGGATTTTCAAATCTTATCGTTTATTCTTTCCTTACTAAATACATATTGAAAAATATTATTTCACAAGCTACTAAGAAGACTCGAACTCACATGCTCCAAATTAAACGACCATTCACCATTTTTTTTTTAGAGGTACCATGCAACATTAGATCATCTTTCAATATTATGCAAGTAATTACAATAACATAGTATTTATTTAACTTAGGAGCTACAGGTAATTTAAATAAATAATATTACACACGTAGCATTTTTGCAAGCAATTATAATAGCTTAATGTGAATGTTCAACCAAAATTAGAAAAAAATATTACAGTCAATAATTTATAAGTATTAATGAAATGAATGATCTATCAAATCCATTAATCCTTGTTTATATAAAAAAAAACGATTTTTAACATTTTAGTAATTTACAAAAATAAAAATACCAAAAAACAGGTAATTATTTTTGTAAATAAAAAATATGAATGAGCATAAACTCTAATTAAATGATATATTTTTTAAATTAAGACTATATATTTCTATATTTATAATTTAATTTACAATAAATAACAACCTTATTTATAGAAATGTAAATATTTAGTAATTTAAGATTTACTTATTTTTGTTGATATAAAAAAAGTAAAAATAATAAAATAAAAAATAATTGATTTAATAATAAAATATAATTGCACATAACTGAAATAAAAACATATATTCTTATGAATCTAATATACGCTTTAGATTAATTATACATTTTGGTAATCATTAAATAATAAATTGCTTTATAAATAACAAAGTATTAATGACTTTATGCATGTAGTAATTTGTAAAAATTTATGTAGCATGTGTCTTGCGTGCTGAATTATAGGTATAGGAGTATGATAACTAGTAATGTAAATCTTCATATAAACTATTAAAATATGCATTTCTTATTTCTTATGAAAAAAAGATACGGCCCACCCATTAAAGGGGATTTTAAAACTCACAATTGATGTAGGTTTACATGTAATTTGCCACCGATGCGATGTGATTGCACACCACAATCCACAATTCTGATTCAACTGCGGCTTGACTTGAAATTCAATTTGAATTTTGCTACTACTGATTTGATGCAACACTAGAGGAATCACGATGGTTAACACGGCATCCAAATTGAGGGGAGGGTAAAGAGGAATGGCGACGATTACAAAATGAGGAAAGCATAGAATATGGATTGAGACAACAATCCACATATATTTACTGAAGCTATTATTTCAATATTACATGTAAATGAATTAATCAATAGGATGCTTGTCCGCCTGGCGGGACGTGTAATGTGCAGAAAGTAGAAGAAGAGACAGAAAAGCACTAGCTACAAAAATCGCATCAAACCACCTATGATAGAAATCAAATTGAACGTCTCCTCCTAAAACGTCTGTGATTATCATCCTGCAAGAGACATCACTTCAGCTAAAGTTATCCAACCAAAAAATCCGGTTTCCAATTGAAGATCAATTTACTACACAACAAATGGTYGAGGAAACAGATTTTTCTCAAAATCAATTATTCCAGGTCCTGATCCCCGTATTACCTTAAATTCCCAACAATATTCTAGTTGATTCTATATAATATTACTAATGATATCATTACAACCCAACTCAATTCAGCTAGAAAAATCCTTCTCCAAACCGTATTGGCTGGGGTTATATGAACCCTGTTCCAAAAGTTTCCACTCTACTCAGTTCCATACTGATGTGGGCATGGAATCAAGATTCTTCATATTCTTGAACCAATGACAATTTTATAATTTCTGGACTTCTGGGTGATTTTAATATTAGTAATTTAGTATTTTTTTTTAAATTTGCTTTCTGTTTTATTATTGCCAGAAGAATATGGTTRGTCATCATCTTAAAGGAAGATGAAATTGTTATTTTTCTTTCAGCCTATTTTTCAGGGGTCAAAACTTATCTGCTTCAGATGATTTTGGTGTTCTTAGATAGATTATCATGTTATCTATCTAACAAGACTAAGATCTTGCATTTTCAGGGACTACTGACCATTTAACTGACAGTGTTGTCAGTCTATAACAGGTTCTGGGTCCTATTTCTCTAAGTCAATCTTGGAGTTGTTTCTTATTTGTTTAGTTTTAGGATTCATGGAGTGCGATTAGAGTTATTTTAGAAGTCTAATTCCTTATGGGTCACGGTTACTTACAGGTTTATGTTAGTTTTCAAGTAGTTAAATTTGTTTTATGTCAACTTTGAAGCCCATATTGGAGTTGTAAAGGTAGATCTGAGCCTTTGTATTAAATCTATAAATAGAACGATTGGAATTGAAACACTTTTTTGTTAATGGGCTACACACAGGGGGTAGCCCTCCCTCAAAACCCCTAGAATCCCCCAACCGGGTGAAGGCAGGACTCAATCCCTGGTCCCACTACAACCAGCTAGAGACCTTACTGGAAGGCTAGCTGGCACCTTTGAATTGAAACTTTAAGATGAATGGGGAAAAATGGCTTAAAGTTAACTGTGGACAACAGTGTACCTTCTCTCTCTCTCTCTAGGTGCAATATTTATTTCTTCTCTTTCACTTCTATTTGGATATTAATATCTGTTTCACACAATTCAGATCTACCATTCCCCTTCTTCATCTACCACATTCATCCTAGGAATTCATCATTTTCACTCTATGTCAAAGATTTACCAAAAGATAAACTGGCCACTGATGTTAGTCTGAGAAAGGCTGAAAATCACAAAAATTAATTGTGCAAGAGGTTAAGGGTATTGATGATCTTATTAACACAGCTATGAGAATGATGTCTTAAGTTTGAAAAATGAAGAGAAGAAAAAAATAATTTGAAGACAAGTTCAATCTGATTTACTTTCCAGCATATATTGATAAAGATTCTTTTCTGGTTACATGCAAGAAGCCTACTCTACATTCCAAGGTTGTTGAAGAAGCTTTGGAGTTTCCTAATTAAATTTGTTTTATCCACGGAGAGAATCAACCTTTGATCCTCCAATTCTTTGAAGATCAATGACTAGGTTTTTCTCCTTTTTAACTGGGGGCAGCATATAATGTAGGATCAAAGAAACCAATATTTGAATTTTTGGAGTTATATATATATAGTATGTGTATTTTTAGATAGTAAGGGTATTCTGGTAGCTACTGTTTGCCGGGTCTGACATATTACTTTGATTTGTATAGTTATAGATTACTTGTGCTTAAAATTTCAGTCATTGGTTAAGTAGTTTACGAGTTGGTTTCTTTGAGCTAAAGTATGAAAGTGGCAGTTATGTGATTCATAGGATTGGCTCCTTTCATTGGGATGAAGAGAGGCATAAATATGGGGGATGACTAAACAAAATCTGATTTCCACCATGGTGTGATAGGGATGATTTAGAGAAAGAAATTTCTCTTGATACAGAAAGTTTGTGAAGGTTAAGAACAGTACTATCAAAGCATCGGCCAGTCATTGACCACTTGACCGACTAGTCAGTTGAGGGCAAGACTGACTGCACCACTAACTAGTCTATTGTCCTATTGATACTCATTAATGTGGTCACCTAGGATCATTGGATGACAATGCCTTGACTAGGTTGACTAGTCAATTAATGACTACTTATCCTAGTAAACCATAAAGTCAGTTTAAGACTTTATTTGTTTGTCAGTATCTTTAATTATTTGAAATAATATAGAATATATTTGAATTTTGCTATATTTATACTGTTGCATTAAACATTTCTGATGGAACAGGATTGGCTGATAGTATATAAAATAGAAAAAAGGGAATAAAATAAAGAAGGCGGTGGGGGAGTTCTTTCAAGTTCTCTTTGAATTGGTGGTCTGCTAGTATAATGTTGGCACAAAGGGCATATCAAACAGTCACGGTTACACTCTTTGCAAAACAAACATTGCAAATTAATTGGGTGTTTCATGTAGTGGTGTTGTGTTGCCATTGCGTTGCATCTTGGGTTGATCAATACAAATTTGTGAGCGAGAGATTTTTCTACTTGAAACGTTTTGAAAACATTTTGAGTTAATCAATATAAATTGCTATATTTACCTAAAGCGTCAAATTGATGCTTCTCAGATATGCATTTTTCTAATTGAAATGACACTCATATATGATGTGGTAACACATATTTCTCATAAATTTGTATTGATCAACTCAAAATGCAACAACAATGCAACATCACTTTACCAAAAACCCCCTAAATGGTCAATATTGTTCCTACTTGCATGGTTATAATCTAAATTAACTTATTTATGAGATTGCATCATCATCATCATCATCATCTAAGCCTTATCCTAACTATATGGGGTAGGCTACATGAATCCTGTTTTGCCATTTCATTCTGTTTAATGTCATATCAATTGTTGAATTATGAGTGCTTAAATCATTTTTTACTACTTCTACCCATGTCCTTTTGGTCTGCCCCTAGCATTTCTAGCCTATTGAAAGCGAATAAGTACAAAAATGTCTTCACAGTAGATAAGCTGATTTACAAAGAAGCCCATGTGACAAAACCATCTTAGTCTACTTTCTCTCATGCTATCACCTATTGGAGCTATTCCTAGGTTCCTTAAAATAAATTTAGAACTTATCTTTTTTTATTGACTAGTCAGTGCTAGGCATCAGCTAGTCACCACATTCACTAGAGGCCAAAATGATTAGTCATCACCCCTCACTGCATTGCTAACACTGGTTGAGAATTAAAGAAAATTAAGAGTCACCTGGATCAAATTTCAGCTATGGCTTATGGTGGGATTTTTTTATTTTTTTTATTTTTTTTTATGAGTGGCTTATGATGACTTCTTCCAAGTCTTTGATGGATGTTAGTGACTGAGCTATGAAAACTTGCAAAAGGAGAGAACAGAAAAAGAGAAAAAGAAGAAAATAATAGGAAGCACTCCTAGGGTTCTTAGAATGACTTTGGGGCTTTAGGAATCACTCACCAAAAATCACACAGCAAAACTTACTCCAATATTATCCTCACATTTTTGCACTCCTAAACCACTTTATCAATCACTTAATTTTTAAACACAACTAAACTATTAAACAAATCAAACTAATAGGTTGGATCCCACAAAAATATGTAAAATGGACAAAATAATGTATAAAAATAAAAAAAAAATGCCTAAAGGATTCAGAAATTTACAATCTTGAAGTCTTTTCTCCTGCATCAATAAGACTATTCTGAAATCTTGAGGTTTCTTTCAGGGAAGAAACCGCAAACCACACTCCACAAACATAGATTGCCATATAGAGTATCACCACATGTTCCAAATAGAAAGGGAAAAATGAAACTTCGGAGTAATCATTATTGAGCATATTGAATTACCAAAGTTGTGAAACTTCACAGTAATAATGAAGAACTTATTAAAACTGCTCATGCTAACATGGTATAAGTAGGCAAGAGGTTCATCCAATAGAAATTATGATAATACCTGTATTCGGTTGCTAAGCTTTTCCTTATCAGTAGGATCGAAGATACAAAATACATTCCCATGATTTCTGAGAGGAAAAGTACAACATTGGTAGATGATCCACTTCCAACTCTGGAAACTGCAAAAAAGAACTGCATGCAGCCACAAGACCTCAGTTGCTATTCAAAACACTTCTCATTATTACCCATCTCAGATTCATAACAACCAACTCATTTGAAAATTCTTACTTCATCCTTGAAATATGTTTCTCCTATTAAATATACTCATCTGGTGATAATACTTACACAATGATATCATAAGGACTGTGTCTATGGTTTCACTTTAGGAAACTTGCCTTTCGTGATATGGATCAGTTGAATGGTGAAAATATATTTAATTAAGCAAGAAAAACCAATTTTTTTTATCAATGGAAAACCAAATTTCTAGAAATATGATTCTATTTTGTACTAMACATAAAGAGCTAATAAAAGGAAGACAAAGATATGGTACCTTCATTAGATTTGTTAAAAAGCCTCGGACAGAAATCACAATCAACATTCCAATGAATAACAGAGAGACATACTGCATATAAGAAACATCCCCATGAATAAGAAAGAAATGTCAAAGTCAAAAACCATGTCAGCCATTAAAATGCATATATTGAAGCAGTATCTGTATCTTAGAAATAACTCAGCGAAGGATATTAAAGTTGCAACCTGCAACTAATTTGCTTTCATAAGTATCTTAGAAATCTTAGCAATTAGATTATAGCAAGTATCTAATAAAGAACTCCTAGCTGCTAATATCAAATCCATGTATTCATGAATTCAATGTGATTGCATATTTACTAAATCCAAATTCTATCAGACCAAGAATTCATGGGATTGCATATTTACCAAAAATCAGGAATAAAGATGATTAAGGAACATCTTCAAAACCTAGAAAAACCGTTACCCAATCCAATAGCAAATGACACAATAGCTCCAGTCCCCCACTTTCTTCAAGGCCAAAGTGTTAAGGTGGGTGAAAATTAAATGAAGGTTGTTTAATACAGTAAGGTTCACCTTCTAACAGAAGATGTGGACCCAAGCATAGTGAACTGGCATAATGGGGCATGCAACTGAAAGATTAAAGCATAGATAGTTTGGAGAAAGCTAAGTGAAGTTAGGTTGGATGAATCAACTGGGATCCTTATTTGTGGTGTTGCTCTAAATCAACTTTGATGCCTTGTTAAAATCAAAGACAACAAATTCCTTTCATCCCTGTTGTGTTTATAGCAGGACTCAAGTGGCATCCTAGTTTATGGTTGTTGACAGATGTATTATATGTACTGTACGCAGGTTTAGTGCCCGCAGGGGTATTTTTGTAATTTTGTAGTCCTTTTGTGTTGTACGGCCAGTATAGTATAAATACAAATGCTTCACTCGCATGAAGTAGTTCTTTTGAGGCCTTAAGCCTGCAACCTCTTCTCTCTTCTTCTTCTTCTTCTTCTTTTCTGCTCAACAATGGTAGTAACACATTGCTTCCAAACAATTTTTTATGCCTTCTGAAAATCAAACTCAAATAGTTCCTATTCAACCCTGTTATTGTATTTATACATAGAATCAATGGAATCCTAGTTTTTGGTGTTGATTCCATGTCTTTATACATCCTTGAGGTCATTTTGGAAAATTATTGCCAATAATTTCCACTTCGTACCTGTTATTTTGTAAATAAAATCTTTGGATAGTATGAACATGCTATTCTAAGTATCCATTTTCTACCTAGCACACATCACATAAAAAAGAACTGGAATAACTAGTAACTTGCAAAATGCAGAAAAGAATGCACAATTTGGGTGCAGGTGGTATCTGTCCTTTTCATGTTTATGTAAAGCTAGAGTTGAAAATACTCTCCATCTGATAATCTCCTGCAACTATGTATTTGCTATCTGAAAACACTTCTTTTCTCCATTTGGGTGTAAGTGGTCTTCCCTTGATGATTTGAGAAGTATTTTCAAGGCCACTTTTTCTTTTTCTTTTTTTTTTGTGAGAAAGGTACTATGAAGTATTGTATTAAAACTTTAAAAGTAAAACAGATAATATAAATGAGGGGTGTACAAAAGCAGCAAAAATAAGCAAGGTTTAAAATGTTGATGTCGGTGGAAATGTCGGTCGTCCAAATATAAGAAACATGTTGGAAATGTTGTATGGAAATATTCTAAAAATTATAGACATGGTGGAAACATTATAAATATGCAAAATATAAAATGATATTGCATGAAATGATAAAAGAAGCATRGGCACCTTTTTAAATTATTATCTAGTTCCAAATCATTACACAAAGCTAAGAAACTAAGGTTATAGACAAAAGAATAAGCTCTGAAGTTGCCTTATAAACCTTAAGATTCAGAGCTTTGCAATAGAATGAGTTAAAACAAAATTTAAACTCAGAAAATGTAAATGTTGTAATAGATCAACCAGAATAATCTATTACACAACAAAAATTAATATTTAACTTCATGTTTGAAATGAATATTTAGCTAGCTCAAAGTGGTAACCATGTAAGTTAGGCGGGCAATAACACTGTTACTCCACATACCTACAATATTGTCACCAACTTATATTATAATACTTTTCTCATACTCTACAATGCTGGTAGTGTTCACTAGGGAATATGTTGATTCCAGTAAAATTTCATGACACTACCCATGGAAGTGGAAATGGAAATATGTTGTGGAAACTATCTCTTATATCCACAGTGTTGGTAGTGTTCATTGGGGAGTATGTCGACTGTTAAATTTGTGTTACTACCAATGAAAATGGAAATATGTTGTGGAAATATTAGGAAAATTAGGGACATTTTAAACCTCAAAGAAGAAGCACACACCAAAAGTCTTTGCATGGGCAAAGTATTAGCAATATACAAAGTGTCCCCAAGTACACCCACCTTAGATAACCCATCAACCTACATGTTAAGTTACTCGGGAATCCATCTTAGGCTATGATGAAACAGGGATAACAAGTCTCTAGCTTCTTCCAAGAAATAAGCTAATCTTCAAGGACTGCAATTCCTCTCCCTTAGCCAACTAATAGTGTTTGCCAAATCACCCACAGTGGCTAAAGAAGAGAGGTTCATCTGTTTAGATATCTGAAAAGCAATTAAGACAATGAAAACTTCAGATTTTGTGAAGTCAGCAATACCTATGCCACTAAAAGCTCACAAAATATTACCATCCCTCTGCTAAAGCACCCCATCAATACCTGCCTCACCAGGATTTCCAAAAGAGCTGCCATCAAACATCAATCTCATCTCAACTTCCTCTGTACTGAACGAAAAAAAGTGGATTTTCAAGGTCTTTTTCGTTTTCAGTACAAAGAAGAGAGGTAAAATCCTTTGGGCATGTATCATAGAATCTATGTTGTGGTGTGTTTGGGAAGAAAGAATGCAAGATTTTTAGGAAATCCTCTGTCGCCTTTCTTATTCACACTAGTTGTTGATGCTTTTAGTAGACTCTTATCAGAAGCAAACAGGGCTGGGTCAATAAGAGGGTGGAGAATAGGTAGAGAGAGAATTCTAGTTACTCATCTTCACTGTGTATATGACGTTATAATATTTTGTGAGGTTTGTAATTTGATGAAGGTGGGAAATCTGAAGAATCTAATAATTCTTTTATAGAGGGCTTCAATTCTGAAAATCAATTTTGAGAAGAGTTGTGTGGTGGAGATAAACACGAATAGAGGGGAGATGGAGTCTACTGCAACCTGTTTAGATTGCACTTGGTCGCAGTGGCCTTATCTAGGACTTCCCCTAGGTGCTAACCCAAAGGAAAGTAGGTTTTGGAACCCTGTGGTGGAAAAGTTTGAAAAACGATTGGCAGCATGGAAGAGAAACTATGTATCTTTGGGGGGGGAGGAGTAACTTTGATTAAAGTAACATTAGCCAACCTGCCAATCTACTTCTTGTAAGTCTTTAGGATACCTAACAGGGAGCCGGCTAAGAGGTTAGAAAAATTGATAGGGATTTGTCATGGGAGCCTGGGGAAGAGAAAAAAGATCACTTGATTAGTGGGAAATGGTGATCCAAAGTAAAATAGAAGGGGGCTTAGGGTTAGGGAATGTAGTAAGAATGAAGCTCTTCTAGGCAAATGGATTTGGAGGCGACCTTTAGAAAGAGAGGTTATGGCATGAAATGGTGAATGGTATCCACAGCTGTTTTTAATCTGGTTGCGATGCTAGGGTATCCCAAAGGGCTTTGCCCACAACACATTGGGAGGAAATTTCTAGCACTCTCCCTAAATTCCTCAACTTTGTAAGGTATGGCATATGCTTTGGAAATTCAGTCCTCTTTTGGGAAGATGTTTGGGTGGGTACTCAACCCCTAAAAGACCGTTTCCCTTCCCTCCGTTCTATCTTCCTCTTTAAAAAGAAACTTGTCTCAAGGTTCCTTCCCCTCGGTTCTCCTGTTGGCTTTGAACTGGGACTTTGGGTTTCGTAGAGGTTTAAGGGATGATGAATCTACTTGTGTTTTTGAGTTTTTGCTTCTTCTAGAGTTTGTATTTTTTGATCCCCCTAGACCTGATAAAAGAATTTGGACTCTAATTTCGAGTGGCTCCTTCACTTGTGCCTCTTTCTTTAAATCCCTTGTTCCACCCCTTCTTCTTGGGTTTTCCTTGTTAAAGAAATCTGGTCAAGGCCAATTCCTCTTAAAATAATTGTTTTCTTTTGGGAAGCTTATTTTGGTAAGATCAATACTTTGGAAAACCTGCAAAAGAAGAGACCTTATTTGTGTTTGTCCCCAAACTGGTGTATTTTGTGTAAAGTGAAGAGTGAGGAACGAGCTTAGGATCTCAAAAAGGTTTCTGTCAAGGTTGTTATTGCAATTAATTACTGAATGATGCCCCCCCCCCCTCCACTTTATCTCAAGCTGAATTTTGATGATTGCAGCTTAGGCAATCCTAGGAGCTCTGGGGTTGTAAGGGCCAAAAAATAATGCAGGTCACATTATGGCTATTTTTTCAGAGCCCATAGCAGTGGGGGATTCAACAAGAGCAGAATTAATAGCAGTTCTTTTGGGTCTATGAAGGGAAAAATCCCCAAACTACAGGAACGTCATTATTGAGGGGGATTCATTCAAAAGTTGACTTAGATAGTTGCAGAACAATCTGGAGGGTTCATTTTTCTAAAGAGACATGCTAAGAAAGATCAAGGAGCTGATTAGGAATCTATGTATTACCTTTCAGTAGGTACCTAGACCTGCTAAGAGTTTGGTAGTGAGGGCTTGCAAAACAAGGGGCATGAAGATTAGTGGAGGGCATGAAGCTGGTAGATTGTATTACCTTGATGGAGGTGGTTCGACAACAGCCCTTTAAACATCTCTTTCTCCTCTTCAGTGGCATTGCAGACTTGGTCATCCATCTCTTAAAGCTCTTCAGTTACTTGTTCCATCGTTGAGTCATCTTTCTACTTTGAATTGTGAGTCGTGTCAGTTTGGGAAGCATCCTCGTGTTTAGTCCTAGAGTTGATAGTCGTATGTCGAGTCCTTTTTCTTTAGTCCATTCGAACATCTGGGGTCCAAATAGAATAGTGTCTTATAATGGTTAC